TGAGATGCAGTCACCCTTTTTTCGTCAGGTATTTTATGACCGCACGAGTCTCCGTCTTCTCCATTTTTGACAAAGCATGTGCACATTGACTATCTGCTAAGCTGTTGTGGCAAAACTTTACGACAAATCAAGTGGAAATTGGTATCGTATCTTTAGCAAGGATGGCTGAATTATTCCCGCCAAAAATTAAATTGATTGCAGCGCCGCATATAGGCAAGGCCGCAAACTTTTCGAACAGCCCTCGTAGGAGATGCTAATTTGGTTTCTTCCTGTAACTTGTTCATAAATCTTAGAAAGATATTGGTTAAACCTGACAACTTTGTAAATCTTAGATTCATCCTTCTAAGATGTGTAAATAGATTGATACTTAATTTCCTAACACACCAGGTTGAATACAGTAATACCTCGACTTATGCTACCCCGACTTACGAAAACCCGAAGTTACGCGATTTTCAAATCTCGTCGATTCGTCTTCTGTTTGAGCGCCACACAGCCCTTGATTACTCACTCCCCCCACACTATTGTTCGGCTTACATGTTCGGATGTGTCGCGCGGAATCGACACATAGCTACAATTTATTTTGTGTTATTTATTTCTGTGTATCTACGGAGACTCGAGAGACTCTACTATGTCATCCAAACGAAGTAGAACTAATTCTTCTGCATCAAACAAGAAAAGAAAAACTTTATCTTTGGAATGTAAAGTTAACATTGGGTACATTCGTAAAGTCAAACGAGTTAAGTGAGAATGAAGTCATCGTTATTCCTATTTCGTTAGACTTTTCGAATGATTCGTTACTAATGCGTTTAACTCGTTTGACTTTACGAACGTACCCATTATTAAAGACTGATACAAAAATGAAAATTTGTGAATTGGCAAAGAAGTTTGATCTACCGGAATTGTCTGTCAGAACAATTATAAAAGACAAAGAAAAAATTCTCAAAGCTGTGAAAAATGCTTAATCTTTAAATTCGAGCATCATTCGTAAACATCACAGTATTATCACTGAGATGGAAACAATGTTAAAATTATGGCGTAATAATCAAGTACATAATTGTTATACATATGTATTAACTAAGATTTTATTAAACATTTTTTTCTAAATTATTGTTTTCTTTAGTCTCCGGCCCCAATTAAAAATTATTTGTATGTATTTATATGCGAAATTATACCCCGACTTACGCGAATTCGGCTTACGCGGTTACTGCTCAGTCCCACCTATCGCATAAGTTCGGGGTATTACTGTATAAAAAAACAAACTTAAACCAAATAACCAGAGCTTTTATGTTCTATTATTGCAAACGTTTTTGACACCCCTTCTGGACTCTTCCTCAGGCTTCTACTTATATTCATTCCAAGCTGGCTTTTACATTTCAAACTTCATTTGAAAGGTATTCAATTCTGGACGCCAAATGTGCATGCGTTCCAAGACAGTCAAATATCGAATAATACGATGAGTTTCGAAATGTGCACAAGTTTCAATTTAAATCCAACAGAAAATCAAATGCTATCTAGATTGATATTTAAGGATGGGATTTTGGGCAAGGCTTAAAGGATATTCATGTTGTTTTACTATGAGTGTGATATACAGTAGAGCATCATTTATCCGAAAGCCGGTCAACTAAAACGTCAGTTAACCGAAAGCATTCCTGTCGGCAAATTTAAATTTCTGCTAGTGCTGTGGCGCTGCAATCTTTGGCTATGTCTTGGGCTACTCCAATATTTTTTTTTGTTGGTGTGTGTGTTTTAGCTGGCAGCACTGGCACTTTTGTGTGGTGTTTTTCTGAAGACCGTGTCAGGAGATGTGTCATGCTGAATCGAACACTTTTGATACTAGATTAACTTCTAAAGTACAATTTTTTTTGTTTTTATATTTTTCAATATATTTATTTTGTTTGTAGAAAATAAAGAAATAACTTTTCGATACAATAGCCACAATTATTATAAAAATTTTTGTTAGGCTTGACACCAACGAAAATTCAACGTGAAGTGACACGCAATAGAGAAAAATTCTAATATGGCTGTGTTTCTTTATGCAGCACTCAAGAAACGCTTTACAGCAAACACTCTGAAACCCATTTCTAAATGCAGCACTGCAATGTAGCGAACCGTTTCTAAATGTTTGCTGCAAGAGGTCACTGCAGCAAAGATAAAGCACCTTTTACGTCCCCTATATGTGTAAAGCAAAATGAACGCTTTTGTATATAATATGATATTATGCTATGAAAATAAAAAAAGTCGAAGTAACTGTTGATAAAAATATTATGGAAAGATTAAGAAGGATTAAATTTTATAAAATGACTCTGAAAGTTATCTAAAGAATAAGAAAATACTAAATTTTAAATATAATTATATATCTTTTATCTCTTTACTTTGTTCACATTTATTAAAGATAAATGCTCATTTCTTTATACCATGTTATAAACTACTTTCAGCTGTAACCAAAGCACTACTTTCAGCTGTAACTGGAATTAAAGGATAGATTATGGCATCCATGTTTCACTCAAGCGGAAAGTGTTTCTAAACTATGATGCAGCGACGTGTAGCAATAGCTGCTCATGACGTCATTTTCGCTACACTCTCACTGCATAAAGAAACACAGCCTATTTTTCATACATAATCGGTTATCTGAACAACCCCAGTCCCCAATTGATTTGGATAAATGACACTCTACTATAATTCAGTTCAATATTGACTAGGGTTCTGTAGGCAAACATTTTAAATAGATAAGGGTCTATAGATTCTGAGGGAATGAATAATGGCTTATACTCTGGTTTTTTTGTAAACCTTAGTCAAAATGTGGTCATCATAGTGTCTGAGAAAGCATTTGTTTTTTGTTTTATTTAGTAAAGAATATTATTTGCTGGCTATTACTGGTATCATTTCAATATTTGTTAATGTTATTTTAAAAATTCTCCATAGCATTCATTTGGAAGTAACAGATACTTATTAATAATTTTTACATTTTAATTTCAGAATTTACATGTAAAATAATTTATTTTTAACAACTTACCTGAATTTTCATTATAATGAGATAAAACAAAACATTATTACAAACTATTGCAGAAATTTTAGTACCAAAATATTGCTCTAAACTAAACTGAAACAATTAAAGGGCCCAACAAAACAAACATAATTAATAAATTCAATTAGCAACAAAAACAAAATGCCTAATTAAATTTTATTAATTAAAATCTCTTTAAAACAAATATGCGTACTTCTAACCAATATCCGGCGTGAAAACTTCAAACAAAGATTGGCAAACGCTTTCGATGNAATTTTTTTAAAAAAAAAAAAAAAACATTATTTTAAAAATTTATTTTTATTTTTATTTATTTATTTTTTTTAAACATTCGATTAAAGAATCCAGTACAGTAAATTTGGCCTGAAGAAGAGCCCAGGAGGGGCATCGAAAGCGTTTGCCAATCTTTGTTTGAAGTTTTCACGCCGGATATTGGTTTAAAAGTACACATATTTGTTTTATATGACCTGGTGTGGGAGAAATCCTTGGTTAAAATCTCCTTCTCTATTAAATTATATTGCAGCTTTGAGAAAACAAGAAATTTTAAAACCCCAGCAAATTTACTAAAATATAAACAATTTAAGTTATAAACAAAATATAAATTTTATTAATTTCAACTCTACAGTTTTATTTCCACTCAGATTCAAATCAGTCATCTCATAGTTTTATTTTATACTGAAAAAAGAAATTAGAATAAAAAGTATTGAATAATTTCTTTGAAATTAAAATTGCAAATACAGTGGAATCCAGTTATTATAATCACAGATAATGTTATCAATTCACTATTGTTATCATAATCAGCCAGTCTCAAAACACTATATAAAATTAGTTAAAAATAACCTGTCTATTATGATTATTCAGCTATTGTTATCAATTGTGATAATTAAACTTAGGTTTAAGAATTCTTGAAAAATTCATACTAAATGGATTTCTTCAAAACTTACTTTTAACTGAAGCATAGGTCGTGTTTCTTTATGCAGTGCTGCTCAATCACTACATGGCAAAGTGTTTCTAAATGAAGCACTATCATGTAGCAAACATTTGCTGCAAGGGGATCGCTGCAGCAAAGATAAAGCAGCTTTTACATCTGCTACACGTGCAAAGCAAAGTGGACGAATGTGTGTATAATGTGATACACTGTGAAAATAAAAAAGTCGATGTGACTGTTGTTAAAAATATTATGAAATGGTTAAGGAGGATTAAATTTTCTAAAATGACTCTGAAAGTCATCTAAAGAATAGGAAAATACAATATCTTAAACACAATTATCTATTTTCTCTCTCTCTATTTTTTTCACATTTTCAGAAAGAGAAATGCTCAATTCTCTCTTTTTTTTTATTATATTGTAGTACTTTAACTAAAGCACTACTTTCAACTATAATTGAAATCAGAGAATAGATTAAAGCATCCATGTTTAGCTGAAGTGGAAAGCATTTCTAAACTATAATGCAGTGACATGTAGTGATAGCTGCTTGTGACATCATTTTTGCTACACTCTCACCACATAAAGAAACACAGCTATATCTTTATCTTTTACATACTGTATTTACATGACAAGAATTCTTAGAAAATATGTGTTCTATAGACCTTTACTTGAAGCATACGTTTGGGAATGAACATTCCTGTTGCAATTTCTCTAGTTCAATTTTGTGATCTGTTGTGTTAAAAACAACTATTTATATGAAATGTTGTATTAAGTGTACAGTTTATAATAAATGTAAATTGTACACATTCATACTATAATTGTTTGTAATAAATTGAGTTCAACAATGAAAATTTTTCATCCTCTGTTTAATGTTATCAGCTAGTTACAAAGTTGCAAGTGATCATAATAAGTGAATTCCACTGTATCTAAAAGTCTGTAGTGACAATCCCAGAAAAAAATTTTTTTATTTAAAATTCATTTATCTTTTGATTTCTTAAAAACTGTTTATTTTATTTATTTATATATTAAAAAATAGTTTTAAACCAAACTGACCTTGGCTGTTTAGAACAAGATCAGATCTTGTAAATGCTCCTGAACGATCTTTTGCTTTTCCACTTATAAATTCACGTTTGAATCTTGGATGAACAATTGGCATTGCAACAAACTGATATCTAAAAAAAGATTTATTTAGCTTTTTAATTGGTTACAGACAAAAAACATAAAATTTAATTTTAGAAAATCACCTAAAATATATATTTCAATATTAAGATATAAATTATCATTGGTAGTCAGTCCTTAAAGAATACAGCAGAACCAATTTAACAGACTTCAGAAAAATCAGAATAAAAGTTACTAAAATTAATATATTTCCTCATTTTAAGATGCATTTTTTTCCAAATTTCTTTTTGTTCAAAACTGAAATTCATCTTATTTTGCAGTTCAAACAGCAATCAACAGTTATTGTGAGTAGACCACTAGGTACAAACAAATATTTTTACCTATACTGCTCAATGGTCACATCAATTCAAAGAAATTAAAATGCTTTTGAAACAAACTTATGACATAGCATTAAAATGAACAATTATTGTATATGCAGAAGAGAATGGAAAGAGAGCTGCCAAACATTATTTCATTGCATCTGTATTGTTTTCCAACTTGTTACTTTAAAACAATTTAATAAAACTGATTATAGTACAATCTAAGATAATGTGAAAAGATGCTACTACAGATAACTGAAAACTTGGATGGATGACTATGACCATTTTGAATTAAAAATTATAAATGCAAAAGATTTACATGATATATCACTTTTAAGCCTCTTTTTTTTACCTTATATATAAGAACAACATTTTTTACATCATTTCTTATAGCCTACAGCTAATATGTACTGTACAATAGTTTTAAAAATAAAAATGCATATTATTAAATAGACACCCACAATTGCCGTAAATAATTGAGCTATATAGCCTGATTATTTACGGCAATTGTGGGTGTCTATTTGTTATGAATCAGGTTTCAGTTGATGTTTATATTTGTATGCATATTATAGTAGTTACATTTTAATATGAATTAGTTATTAATGCATACTGAAGTTAAATGATAAAGGTAACAGAAACAAATCATTTTGTAATATATGTTATTGTTTTAAACTTTTTTCATGCATTCTTTAAGAAAAGTAGTAATATTCACTTGCAGGTTCACATCACGTTGGATAATACAGAACCTCAGTTAATCAGGGTTCTACTGTATTTTATTCTTTGTAAAAAAGTCTTAAAATATGATTTTAAGATATGATATATAAAATATTAAAATATAATATATAATAAAAAACATTAAAATATGATATCATATGCAAATCATGAATTTCCAATCAAACAAATTTAAATTCCATAATAAATCTAATAAATTTTATATGTAGATTTATTACATTTATTTTAGAAACAAAATATTCTAGATAATATTCATAATTCTAGAATTATTTTTTAAGATAAAAAAAATTATGCTTGCAATGAGCAATTATTTATTGTGACATGGTCACAATGCTGGGGTGCAATTTTTTATCATATTTTTTAAATTTATTTAATTTAAAATATATGCTCTCCATCTCAAATTAGTAGTATCTTGCTCCTGTACATAATACTTTTCCTTTAACAACAGAGTCATGCTGGTCATCTATCTAACATCTTTCAAGAGAAATTTTTTAATTGAAATAACGACTTCCGGTTTGCATCAGAAGTTCTTATATATTTAATCCGGGCCTCATGCCCCTAATATTTCCATATCTGGTCTTGACTTTCATCTATCTAACTCTGTTATCAAGATTAAAGAAAGACAAACAGACAAATGACAGTGGGAATTTACAGGTGTATAATTTTTTCAAATTGTAGCCCAATTAAAAATGAAATTAGTACAGTTATTATACCAAACCTATACATAATATACTTTAAAGGATTTAACTTATGTTAAATCCTTTAAAGTATATTATGTTAAGTTGCTTATACCATTTTCCAAATTATTTTGGAAAATGGTATAAGCAACTTTGATAATCATGGACATGTCAATCAGATATCAACTGTAGCCACTGTATATCATTTGTATCATTCTTTGAATGCTGCATTTCATCTTATCTCAGTATGACATCCTATAATCTATCATAATGTTATATTATCAATTTATTTTTGTTTCATTGTTTATATATATTTTGCATTAATAAAAGGATGATAGATATTTTTCACTTCTTTGCTTTCTTCCTGTGATATTTTTAACAGAGAATTCAATTTTTATGAAAGTACACATGCTTGGACTGAATCTCAATCCTCAGTGGGGCTATGATCAAATAAATCTCAAGACTTTTGGCTACATACTAATAATTATTTGATCACTCAACTAAATTCAACAAATAACTAATTCCAATCACTGTTATTCACAAAAAATAATGATAATTTATATTATGCTGGCTATTTGAATTTGGTTGTAACTTAAGAATTGTAATTATATATGTTTTTCATCATTCTAATCTGTTAAAAATGTTGGCTATCTGAACTAAACCGTTTGATTTGTAAACACAATGTTAGCACAGTATTCACAAATGAATGATAATACAGTATTGAACAAATATTCAAATTTAATTTGACTTTTGAATGTTCATAAGTGAATAATAAAATTTACTTGAACTTATTGATCTTTCTTTCTTATCCAACACTGGAATTTCATGTTTATTTACCCATGTCTGAAGATGGCCTGTTAATTAACTAACTGAATCTAAAACATTAGCATTTCTCTACTGTTAAAGATGTAATGCTTAATTCAGTAGATTAACTAGTCACTAGTTCAACTTTGTTAGCAATAAATTAAGATATTTGATTGTGAGATAAAAATTATAAAATTAAATCAATTAAAATACTAATATATTTCTCCTAAAAATTTTTTCCTTCCGGAAAAACAAAAAATATTTTTAAAAATTTTATTTTGTTCTTGATTAATTTTTGCATTCAATATAATCTTACAACACTTTGAATAATAAAAACAAAATTTCTTATTGAGTTTTGATTTATTTGTGTAATTTTAACACTACTATCATTAATAACTCTGCATATAAGCTCACAAAACAAAAAGTTATGCACTAAGAAGAAAGTATCTGAAACAAATAAAACTTTATTATTGAAAACAAACTATGATGGTGGTAATAAGTAATTATAATATCACAGCAAATGGATAATTTCCGATGCATCAACAATATATTTTAAACCAATCTTTAGTACCTGTAAGATTTCCTCATGTCTGGATACACAATAATATAGTCAGGCATGGAGGTACCAAGCACTGTATGCTTTCCTGTAACAGATTTATCCCCAGATGTTATAACTGATGCTCCAGATTCATCACACTAAAGCTGGCATCCTATATGGTTCCATAAATGTCAATGGGTGATAAATCTGGAGACAGGCAGGTGAAGGAAGTGTGGCAGCATATCACTGTGCTGTCAATGTTCCTTGCACAACTGACTGACTATCATAAAAGATGATTTCCCAGACAAGGATGCCAGCAGTGATATAGTAAGCCATTCTGTTGAGTATGCCACTGATTCAATCCTGTTTTACAATAGTAAAACAGGAATGAACCAGTGCTCCACACTATCACAGTAATCATCCATGTTCAAACAGAATAAAAACTCACTAAAGATGTTAATATATAACAGTCCATGTCCCTGTGTCATCACTGCAAATGAAGTTACGATGAGGTGTTGATGACAGGATGTACCTGTAATGATATGGAAGTAACAAAGCTTCCACCCGTCTCTGAATGGTAGACAAAGATGCATACATGTGCCCAGACACTGCTCCCAGTCAGGTCAGACCAGAATAGCCCAGATGGCAGGAAATTTGACAAAAGAGACATCTTGCTTCCCTCAGTATGATGATGCAATCTTTTCAAACTCTGTAAACTGTGGATAATGCTTTTGACTGCATCATACAGATATGCCAGGGAGGCAATACTGAACTCAATGACTGTTATGAAAGGTTTCAGCTACTTACTGCTAACGATCATTTCTAATAAATGCATAATGCAATGCACAACCTAAAGTGATACTCAACTACATTTTTACCATTCTCGTTAACTTTGTACACAGCCATTCACCTTGAGATGAACACACAAATTGCAATGTCATATGTTAGTCACCAAATTGGCAACGAGGATTTCCTCCAATTTTGATCACATGATATTATTAATAGTATCATGTGGAGTCACAGCAGGTAACCTTAAGTGGAGTTTCATCTATTATTTTTATAAATATAAATTTCTTAACACAGAGAATAAAAATCAAAGGTATAAAACTTCTTCAGCACAATACCAATTAATGATAGATTTCATCATGAGTGCATGCAAGAAACTTTTTACAAATAAGTTGTTCATATATATACATTTCTTAATTTTACAGACATTATATTTGGTATAAATGATATTCAACAATATAATTTTAAAACAAAAGTAATAATCTTACATATGTTTCAATAAAATATGAATTTAAGTATATATTTGACAGTCATTTAGACTCAGGTAGCTTGCACCAACCTTTCAGTAAATGAGTTGTCAATGAAAGTGTCTTTCATAACAAGAATGTCATGAGGTTCAGTATCACATTTCTTGCTGATTGTTAAGTGATGTCACTTCACTCATTTATTGATGTTAATCAGTATCACCCCTGAAGATGATCTTAGTAACAGATCAAAGTCAGATCTTAGTCTATCAAAGTTATTTACTGGGATTTGAGGTTTTTAAAGATATATATAGTACTGTATATGTAAGAATCAAAATTTCAAAAGTAGATTTAGGAAGAGTATTAATTAATTAATTAAATATAATAAGTATTTCTCTTTTATATAATGATAATTTAATTTATTTTGTGTGATATTACTAAAAAGTAAAGTTCTATATGTTCAAAAATTAGTAAATGCTATACTGAATTATATATATTTAAACANTTACATACATTTTGCAAAAGGTAAAGCATGGATCTGAAGATAATGCAGAAAAATGCTCAGAGGATAAGGATAACTTGCCAAAAAGAAAACGCTCTCGGTTAATTAATAGTGTTTTTAGTGATGACGAAGAAAACATTGTTTAATTTATATTAATATGTATCACTTTAAAAAATTTTAATGAAGATATTTATCTTAATTATGAAAATATACTAGCATGTTTTTTAATTTTTGGAACCTAACCCTCCTTTTCGTATTAGTTGTTTGTTTCGTATAACACAGATTCGCATAACACGGCAATTTTTTGGAACGTAACTACCGTGTTATACGGGGGTTACCTGTATATCTTCGATAGTTGTCTAGACTCAAAGGTTCTACTAACCTTTCAGTAAACAAGAGTAGTCAGCAAAAGTTTTGTTTGTAATGAGAATGCCACAATGTTCAATATTGCATTTCCTGCTGATTGTTCATTAAATGATATCCCAACATACCTGTTTTGCTTAATGACACTATTCAATATCACTACCCTGGTGAAACGAAAAGTACACTAAAAATTGTAAACATAATAAGCCTCTGTGACACTTTTTATTTTACAGGATACTGGAATTTTAATAATTTTAAAGCACTCTGGTGGCATTACCTATCATGCTATTGGACCTAACTCATCATTTACATATTTGTCTGAGATAGAGCTTTATGCCAACTTTTGAGTACAATTCAAGTTCTAAATGAGATGGGTTGGGACCTTATCAGAGCTGTAAAGCATACCCACAGGAGCAAAAAGTCAAGGGAACCATACCTCTACAAGCAACCCTTCACGAGAGTCCACCAAAATCTGGTCGCATGAGATCACAAGTCACATCACTATGCTCAGACTATTGTGTTTAACTATTTAGCCTATGCGACTTGCTGACTTTGAGTAGCCCACTTGACTGTTCATGGAGTACTTGATGTTATATAGTTTTAGAGGGGTGTGGGGGTGAGTCCCACACCCCTCTAAAACTATATAATGAGGTATGAGCGATAATGAGAACCAAAGCACATGACTACATGTGGAGCATTGGTCAAGGCAAGCGATAGCAAGGCTCGATGATGCGTAGTACAGAGAATAAGTAGTATACTGATACATGTTAAAAACTGATCTTTCAAGGGGCAAATATCTCACAAAGGGTCACATGTGCAGGTATGATTCCTTTGACTGTTTTGCTTGTATGGGGGTTTACAATTCTGGGGTGTGAATCCCCTTATTCAGAGCTTGAATCTTACTAATTTTTGCAATAATCAACAATTCTAACTGCATTATTCTTTTGTGAATGAATGTATACACTGTTGAAGTTTTTTGATGAAGAAAATGCTTGTTTGTTTATTTTTCTTCATTGATTAACAACTTATATTTGAACAGATACAAAAAAAAAGAAATTTAAGCAACAAGCAAAATTATTTATTTACTGGAAATCATATATCACAACTTCAAGATTTCTAAATTACTGTTTTGTTTTTTAATTGAATTTTTTGAACTATTCTTACTTCTTCTTTCTATATATTTTCTTCTTCCAAACCACATTTTTACATATACTTTCAAATTTTCTATTACATTCATTTCATTTTCAGCTTTTTGTCTTCTATTTCTCATTAATTTTGGAAGTGTTTTCTACATTCTATTTTAATCAAGTGCAGTAATTCGAAAAGGAGTTTTCAATTTAATCAAGTGTAAAATTATCTGAATGATAACTTTATTCATCTTTTATTTATCAACATTAAAACGCCATGCTTTAATGTGAATTGTAGAAATTATTTTTTCATTAGTAATGTATCAGTAAAGCTAAAATATAATGTGCAAAAATTACCATAACTTTTTACTTAATAAATAACTTTTTACTTAATTAACTCAAAGAAAAATTTAAGAATATTCTAATGTTCTATAGGTAAATTTCTAGTATTTCCTTGCAACTTAAATATTTAAAATATTATTTATTCATATCAGTAACATATTTCACTTATTTAAAAACGATCAAATTCTAATTATACTTTAAAATTAACGATAACTACAATAAATCATTTAAACTTTCGACAACTGTAAACCTTTGAAATATCGATCTCAAGATTACGATAAGAAGACAAAAATTTATTCCACTAGCGGATATAAGAAAATTCAAAATTATATACATACCCGGCACTAGTAGCAGCTGACAAAGAATTACTAATATCATTGGCACAAGCGAGTTCAAGACCACACGACACATGCTGACGACTCGCCATTTTGAAATATCCGACCTGGCGGGAAGCAAGAAATGATAAAGCAACCAATTAAAAATAATCAATTCTTTAAAAGTCAATATATTAAATAATTATGTAAACTAATTTATAATGTAGTAAAAATATTTGGAAAAAAATTATACACAAAAAAATTTCATTGTATTTATATACGTGAGTAAAACAGTTGCGTTTATTTTGTATCTTGTAAATACATGACACTTTTTAACTCTTTCCGCCCTATAATCACTAAGGACCTCTTTTTTAGCAAGCCCATTATGGGTTCGGCCAGGCCTACAATGGGGCGGCCGGGTAATGTGGGACGGTGGGTCCAGGGGCCGACATATCTAGTCGGGCCATCCCCGAAAAATTTCTGAGGATTTTTCAAGTAGTCCGGATTCGATTCCGGGTTACCCAGGGCAGTGGGCTGCTGCCTTAACCCCTTAATGATTTTCCCATCCTGAAATATTAAACGAAATAGATGTTAACGCGTGCGCACAAGATCTGCAAAAATCTCGGAGGGTAAAATTTGACACGATTCCAACACTTTCCTTTGTTAAATATACGTAACAACAGGAAAAGCAAAAAACACATTTAAAAAATATCATTGGAAAGAATAATTTCAAGGATATTTTTCAATATGGTATAGTTTGGTTGAACAACATCAGATAAAATCTCAAAAGAGCTTGAGATTTTTAATAAGGGGTAACTCAACATCCAAGTAACATAAAAACTTCCGAGTTAAAAAATCAGACGACTTTTCCGATAATTTTGTTAATATTTTATGTCATTCATTAACTATAAGGAATTATGTGTTTAACTACTACTATAGCAAACATCCTCATATTCCAATACCAGAACATGAAGCTTTCATAATACTGTTTATAATTTCTGGGGTTTTTTAAACCGTCCGGATTCAAACCCGGATCCCACAGAGCCATAGGCTAGCCCTACTAGAGATACACACGACCCCCTTTATCTCCCCCACCCTAAATGTTATTAAATTTTGGTGATTAAAGGTCGAGACCTTTAATCACCAAAATTTAATAACATTAATCTCACTAATAAACAAACCTCACTGCAAATTTTCAGAATTTTTCGACAAAAAGCACAGGAATTATTAAGCTTCAAACAGGGTGAACAAAATTGTGAGGTTCCAAAAACGGATTGAAATTAAACATTTATTATTAGAAATTTACTAAAACGAAACTAGAAAAAAATCGTCTATTGTTAAAAACCGATCAAAGATCGAATTAGCTGTGTTAGTCATATGAAACCGCGACGAGAGAAAAATAACTTTATTGATGTAAACGGAACGCAATAATTTTAAATGATTAATAATTGTAAACAAACGACCTCCAGTAGAGATGGATCTTTGAAGAGTCGCTCATATGCACATAATTAGAACATAGAAATTTCGAAAAGAGGAAAGATTAATGATGAAAAAGGACATCGCGTCGTGTCGTTAAATTTCAAAAACGTCACAGACTAGACAACAATGGTGGAAAATATGAGCGCAAGTTTCAAAGTTCCATCAACATTTTGCATCCAGAATAACGGATGGTGTCAAGTAGATTCTTCAAGGCGGATCTTTCTCGTGACTCGAAAAGGAATCGTCTTTCGCTTAGAGACAGACGAGGGAGCCAATCAGAATAAACAAATTAGAGAACGGAGATTGATATAATCCCCAATCTTGAAGGACAGAGAGACTTCTTCCGTAAACCTGTACTCCGGAAAGTCCGAAGCGAAAAACTCACTGTGTGTCGAGGCACAGAAGAGGAAGATTCCGCACTAGTGTCTATCGGGAGAGCCGTGCCGCCGACGCTTACCGACAAGTCTTCTTACCTTCCGCAGCCCCGGGACCCATTTCCGAGGGACGATAGAAAAACATCCTCGACACTTAAAACTTACGAGCATTTAATTGGTTAGGGAACTTTATGCGTAGTGTAAGTTATTTCCTGTTAAATTAAACAGATTTTTGTCAGATACTTGTCATCTGTGTCTCCTCCGCCACACCCACACGCGAACGACCCTAGATCATCCTGACGTGGGATTAACGATTCCCCTGGAAGTCGGCGAACTTACAAAATCATGCTCCTCCACACACTAACATCCATACATACAGGGAAAAAAAAACTCCAATTTTATTGCATTTCTCGACGTTTCAAGATGTCCTGAGCCCAAAAATATAAAAATCTTGGAGGTCATTTTTGACCGATCGCTCTGTTATATATAACAACCGGGAAAGTAAAAATTCTAATGAAGTTTTCGTTCATAATTTGAACTTTCGCTAGATTTGTCTACCTTTAGAGAGTGTTTACTCTTACAAAAAAAACATATATGATTAAATTTCGATAATTTCGTTTTATCAAATTATTCATTTATTTTTGTTAAAAGACTAATCACAATTTTAAAAAATTTGAAAACATTTAATAGACTTTGTACTGAATAGCCTCGTTTCCGTAACAATCCGACAAATGTTTCAATTACAGTTAGAGGAACACGTGGTCTGAGCCAGGCGAGCGACTTTCTAAGATTTTTCACCAGTGTCCTAGATATATCGGGTCCGTCCTTCACCAGCCGGCGACTCCCATCATGATCCTTGCCGAACTCACGATGAATATGATTAAAAAGTTGCTCTTAGCGCCCGTAGAATAGAAAGAGTCAGAAGTAAAAAGCACGTGGACTTTGAAAAAAGTTGCTAAAACGTTATATATTATTTTTTTTTATGAAATGGTTTGAATACAGATTAAATAAATTTGAATTGAATTGGTAATGTAAAAATGATAGTAAATCATGTGTAGAATCTCATTTTTCTCAATGGGATACTAATTTCTCTGATTTATCTTATCTTTGAATATCATATGATACTGCTAAATGCATTTGCCTTCGTTAAATTAGGTAANCGTTAATATTAAGTTTAAGACCTTTTTTAGCTGGATACCTTTTCCTTTACCCTAACCCGTTATAATTTTCGTGGGTATTAAAATATAATTTTCAACCTAAAAGGTATAAAAAAAATTTTATTTTGTTTAAATTTCTGAGATTATCACATTAATGATCATAGTCTTATGAATTTTACATAAATTTGACACAGTATTTTGTTTATAAATCTTACAATTAAACTTGCAAATATGATGATAATATTCCTTTTTGAAATTTTTGATTATTCATTTAAGTTTGATCAGATTTAAAATATTTAGTTGTGTAATAAGTTTGGATTTTTATAGTTTATTTTGATAGTGAAAAATAATTTAAGAAATTATTAATTTTGTTTACAAATAATATTTATATGCCTAAATTCAATTCATTAATAAAAATCATTTATTATAAAATAATATCTTAAGATAATGCTTTTTAAAATGTACATATCATGAAAATTTGAATACTGTATTATCCAATATTAAATATAATGCAATGCTAATAAAAATATAATTTTATCATTTTCAAATGATATCAATTGATATTACTTTTGAAGTGATTTTTGGATGAAATTCTATAAAACTTGCCACTACAACCTAGAGTTGTAATGAAAATAAAATATACAGCTAAATTAAGCCAATCAAAAAATTTTTAATAGGTGAAAAATGTTTTTAGACTTTCATAGTCAGCTTTAGTTCTTTCATGCCAGAGCTGAAGCTAAGACTGTGAAAGTATGATGATGATAAGTAAGAATGAAAGCAATAATAATAATAAATAAATAAATAAAATAAAATTAAGACAATAACTTAAGGGAAAAAATAATAATGATAAAGCTTATGTTTTAAAATTTAATTTATCTTTGGAATGCCACAGGACTCTGACATTTGATTCCAAAATGTGTTGAAGCTGAAGAAAAGCCCAAAACCATTTTTTACTATTGCAAATATTTGGTTGTTTTAATTTAGTTGTTCTTTTGTTTTTGAATGGTTCAAATTGTGAAATAATATAAAATGGTATCAATTGATAAAATTATACCACTTATGAAATGGTTTTTTTCTTTTGCAAATTTCAAATGGCTAATTAATATCAATTATTGTCAATTTACAAAACAATTTTAAATGTTGATATCAAATGAAACATTAAAAAAACCACTTGATAAATTGATTTGATATATTTGACATACTATTATTGATAACAAAACCAAGGTGATAGCACTGGATGTCGCTCACTAAATGATGTCAATTGACATCAGTTGATATCACATATTCAGAATTTAAAAATGTGAAACATTACAAGATTGTTTAACAATAATTCATATCATTTCCATTATTTAATATTTTCTTCTACAAAGTAAATGATTGCAAAGAACCTATCTAAGAACGACTTTAAAAGAAATTTTTTAAAACCTATCATTTGTTAACATTTAATATCATTTCTTCCAAATAAATAGATTGAGATAAAAACTCTTTAACTTAGAAATTTACCCACCAGACTGTCTGGACTTTCATCAGTCTTCTGGGTAAATTTCTAGGTTAAAGAGTTTTTTCTGTATATTATTGTCCAGTTTTCTTGCATATTGAACTGTTTTGTAAATAAATAGATTACTACTATCTTCAGGAAGCCAACTTTTTAAAAACTAAATGAAAGATATATTTTAAGTCAAAATCTAATCATCCAACCTGAGGATTAGATTTAATAGTTTAGAATAATATAGCTTAGAGCACATTAATAGAGCATAATAGCATATATTCTAATTGCATTTTTCTGTATTGTTGAAAACAGGTGTTTTATTAATGGTTTAATAGAAAAAAAATCAAAATTTGATTAACAGTTTTTTAAATTATTTAATATAATGATAAATTAAATGTTATAATTTTAAAAATGCATGAAAGGTCAACTCTACAATAAGATTGTTTTATTCCTGAGGTGTGACATTGAAGTAAAATGAAGACTGTATTTCATCAATTACTTTTTTGAATTTTTTAAATATAGTTGTTGTCCTAGTTATTTTATTAGTATTTAAAAAAATATCATTTTTTTTTAGAATGGAGCAAATAATTAGAGTGGCTGTAATTGGAGCTGGACCAGCTGGTTTGTGTGCTGCAAGAAATTTAAAATCCAATCCAATTTTTCAGTTTGTTGTGTATGAAAGCCAAAATGAAATTGGTGGAACTTGGATATTCACAGAAGAAATTGGTAATAATAAATATGGACAACCAATTCAATCAAGCATGTATAGAGATTTAAGGTATGCTGAAATTTAGTCACTAAATTTATTAATGAAAAATATTTATTTGGAAAAAAATGAAAAGTAGATAATGAAATTACAGAAAAAATTTGCTATTTTTATTTAAAAATAATACACATTTTATCTTAACAGTTCAAATGACAAGAAGTTTTAATTATTTTTAAATTTGAAATTCACATTGACACACTTGAAAAGTATAGCAATCAATAAAAAAATTATTTGAAATATTNAATTTCATCAAAGATGCATCATGGACGATCTCTTGGTCATGACCTGCAAAGTTTAAAATTTGGGGCCCAAAAGCAGCAATATCAAAGAAGATAGGAGAATGAGAACGAGACCTGCCTTGAGCATCAAAGTGATTCGTCTCCGAGACATAGTCTTTTCCCAAATACGGTTTTGCCATTTTATTTAATTTAAAATATTTGCTCTCCATCTCAAATAGGTACTATAGTATCTTGCCCCCATACATCATACTTTTCCTTTAACAATAGAGCAGTGTCAGTCATCTGTTAACTGTTTTCAGGGGAAAAGTTTTGAATTGAAATAATGTGACTTCTGGTTTGCAACAGAAGTTCATATGTAGTTAATTGGGGCCTCTTGCCCCTAAGGTTTCCATATCTGGTCTCTGTTCCATATATAACTCTGTTCTTGAGATTAAGGAAAGATGGATGGATGGATGACAGTGGGAATTTATAGGTCTACAATTTTTTCAAATTGCAGCCCAATAATAAATTTTCTACAGACATAATATTCACAGAAAATCACACTTTACTTTTTAAATTGATTTCCATCAAATCAAAAATTCTAATATTTTATTACTGTATGCACTTTAATTAAAGTGTTCTATCATTTATCATGATTTAGTTGAAATTGTTCTCACAATGTTATGAAAAATCATTATAAAATGTGGTTTCTTTCTCTTATGATATTTTATATGTTCATGTAATTTATATAATATATTATATAATAATTGGTGTAAAAAAATGATCAAAGTTTCCTTTGTGTCGACTGTAAGAAAAGATGGAAAATGTATCAATAACTCATTATTATTTATAATAAAATGCAATCATTATAAAATAGTTCAGGTACCTTTGTAATATTACTTCCTCTCTAGAATAAAAGATAGCCAAACTTCATAATATAATTGTAAAATGCATGAAATATGACAAAGTTAATTTGAGTATAAAAACCTGGAATTTGAATATTCCAGATATTTTTTATCTTAAAGAATTATTTTATCAATTATGAGAAAAAGAATATCATTTTGAAAGGATTTTTTGAAGCATTGAGAGAGTAATTTCAACTAAATCATGCTAAATGATGTAACACTTTGAGGTGCAGTACATATAATACTAAAGTATTAGAAGTTTTGATTTGGTGGAAATCAAGTAAAAAAATAAAAAAATGAGCTCTTTTTTGTAACATTATGATCATGAGAATATTTTTAAACATTTATTTGAACTCTTCCTAATCTAAATAATGAAATGAAAATTGGTTAATGAAATAAACAAATTAAGAAATAATAGATTGTTTTTGAGATAAGTGAGGACAGGTATCTGCAAGAGGAAAGTAAAAAAAGTTTGGAATTTGAAAAGTTTTTGGAAAGTTCTAAAATTTTCTAAGTGGTTTTGGAATTATTTCTGTTTTAAGAATTAAATTGTTTTAATTTGTATATTTATGCATTTATTTGTGCATTGAAAGTTTTAATGCTTTCAATAATTCTCTTAATATTTTTGATGTTCAGACTCAAGAAATGTCTGATAATGAAGATTCTCTTGAATGAATTTTTATAATTCACTGCAACTTTTCAATAAAATGCATTTCTAATAAAAATCAATTGATGTTAATTAAATTTCCCTTCTATAACGTAAAAAATTTCAACATTGACTTTACTCATGTCCTCTCCTATCTCAAAACCATTTACTAATTATCTTTATTTCATTAATAAATTTTCATTTTATTATGTAGGTTGGAAGGGGGTTCAAATAAAATGAGCAATTATTTATTGTGACATCACAATGCCAGGCTGAAATTTCTAATCATATTTTTAATTTATTGACAAGACTATGTCTTGTTTATAAAATCGTACTGCCACTCATTCTTATCAGCATAGAGGTATGAAGGAGTACATGTCTAGAGTTGATATTTGGCACAGAGTATTAGGTACCCAAATCATTTGTGCATAAAAAAATCCAGACTCGTTGGTAGTCAGGGGACTGAGAATCGAGTCAAAATAAAATCCAAAACAGTGACCCTCTTCTACAAACAGGCAAAACAGCCACCTCACCCTACCGAAGTCAGGTAGGGGATAGTACCACCCGCAGTCATTCTAAGAAGTGAACTCTGACCTTAGGACTGAACACATAGTTTCTTCTATGTTAAATAAAATTTGTAATCTAATTTTGTAAATTTGGGAGTGCTTCAAATATGATGTTAAAACAGTTTTATGTCATTACGAGTAGGTTTTTTTTTAACATTATCTAGTATAGTAAAATCGTAGGACCAATAAAAATTTGACATTATATTAGGGTTGTCGTTACATTCAATGACATTATAATCGGGTTAAACTGTATATTGTTTGTGCAAAATAAAAAAATAATTTCGGATGATACAATAGCCACGATTATTTTTTTCAAAAACGGGAACTTTTCATTATGCATTGACAAAAATTCAACCTGGGCTGACATGCAACAGAGAGAAATTTTGAAATTAGATAAGTTAATTTCATCGAAGATGCATCATGGACGATCTCTTGGTCATGACCGGCAAAGTTTAAAATTTGGGGCCCAAAAGCAGCAATATCAAAGAAGATAGGAGAATGAGAACGAGACCTGCCTTGAGCATCAAAGTGATTCGTCTCCGAGACATAGTCTTTTCCCAAATACGGTTTTGCCATTTTATTTAATTTAAAATATTTGCTCTCCATCTCAAATAGGTACTATAGTATCTTGCCCCCATACATCATACTTTTCCTTTAACAATAGAGCAGTGTCAGTCATCTGTTAACTGTTTTCAGGGGAAAAGTTTTGAATTGAAATAATGTGACTTCTGGTTTGCAACAGAAGTTCATATGTAGTTAATTGGGGCCTCTTGCCCCTAAGGTTTCCATATCTGGTCTCTGTTCCATATATAACTCTGTTCTTGAGATTAAGGAAAGATGGATGGATGGATGACAGTGGGAATTTATAGGTCTACAATTTTTTCAAATTGCAGCCCAATAATAAATTTTCTACAGACATAATATTCACAGAAAATCACACTTTACTTTTTAAATTGATTTCCATCAAATCAAAAATTCTAATATTTTATTACTGTATGCACTTTAATTAAAGTGTTCTATCATTTACCATGATTTAGTTGAAATTGTTCTCACAATGTTATGAAAAATCATTATAAAATGTGGTTTCTTTCTCTTATGATATTTTATATGTTCATGTAATTTATATAATATATTATATAATAATTGGTGTAAAAAAATGATCAAAGTTTCCTTTGTGTCGACTGTAAGAAAAGATGGAAAATGTATCAATAACTCATTATTATTTATAATAAAATGCAATCATTATAAAATAGTTCAGGTACCTTTGTAATATTACTTCCTCTCTAGAATAAAAGATAGCCAAACTTCATAATATAATTGTAAAATGCATGAAATATGACAAAGTTAATTTGAGGAGCAGTGTTTTGGTAAAAAAAAACTTACCATAATACAACTACCAAATTAATCTAAATATATAAAATTACTTGTCCTGACTAACTGAGTCACTGATTGATTCATCATCGCCCAGAGCAAACTGCTAAACCTAAAGAGGTGAAATTTGGTACACAGTTAGGGTACGTCATGAAAACACACATTAAGAAGGGATTTTTCAAAATTTCTTTATTGGGGGAGAGGGAGAGGATTAAGGCTTAACCTGAAGAATGGCTTCTACTGTACTATTTTAGATGCAATTTTTTGTTTTTAAGTATGTTTAGTCTTCATTGAGTACTTAGGTGTATTAAATTGATAGCATTTCAGACATTGTTATAAATATTTTTATATATTTTGATTTTTTAACCAAATGTTCGAACTGTTTTAAATTCAAATTTGTTATTGCATATTGGTTCGATTATAGAGTGATTGCAAACGTTCCAGAAAATTTATCAAATTGGAAATAGTTTGTTTGATTCTCAGCAATTCTCATCATTCTCAGTGGTAGGTGTTATATAACAATTACCATGGTTGTTGAAATACTGAATATAAATGGGGTTTGCTTGCATTTCTATAATTAACTATTGCTAGCCGTTACCGCAACTTCACCCCACGGGTGAAGTTGCGGGTAACGGCTAGCAATAGTTAATTATAGAAATGTTTGATTTGATTTTTTAATGTAGAAGCCTAACAAAGATAACAGAAAATTTGAAGACATTCTTATTTTTGTGATGAAGTTTTTCTTTGTTTGATGATAAGTTTTAAAAATTTTTCTTGTTTGCTAATATATTAGCGTTTCATTTAGCTAAAAGTTATACTTTTATGCCTTTTTTTATTTCATTACATTTTATCTGCAAGTTGTATGACGTTTCATGATCTATATGTTGAAAGCTGTTTTATTACTCTTTCAACTTGGTACTGGATACACCTTCAGGGAAACAGCAGAAAGGAGAAATCAAAAGTTCCCTTGCTAACTATTGCTTCTGTATCTGAAGGTGTATATTCTGTGGTAAGTAGTATTTAAAATTATGAATAGTATCATTTGTTACAAACTTTAATGATTAATAATAACTTATTTCAATTTTGTAATAAAAATAATTCAGACAAAGCATATAGTTATTAATTTGATTTTAATTAGTTTCAACTTGTACATTTTCTCTGTGTAATAAATTTACATTAAACCATTGATGTGAAATAAATGTCTTACATGTCTATTATTGATGTGACAAAGACCATTGTATGGCTATGTGAAGAAGGAACAATGCCAGCTTGAAGTGGCTGCATTTCTAAATGTTTCACAATATAT